GATAGGAAAAGTTACTGTGCGATATCCCTACTCAGACAGAGATTTGGTCACTACAACAACACCATTCCTGCAAAATGTATCCAGGTGGGCTCCCAATTCCTTTTTGTCTTTACAGATTGGGTTTAGGGCAGTCTGATTTAGATACGCTTCTAAAATAGAACTGTAATATATCTTAAATACTTGAATTATTTTTACATTTCAGGATTTATTTTAAAATCTGACATTAAAGGGTATGCCAAACACTGTAACCACTACATCCTGCTGTAGTAGTTATGATGCCAGGTGAACCCTAGCCTGGTCCCCCTTCAATAGGGCAAACCCCTTAGGAGAGAAAAATAAGTAGCAAGAGAGGTGAGAACGGACAAAAGCTCAATTAGCCTGCCCTTCGGTGGGTCCCCGCTCAGATCTCAAGCTGGTTTTAGCTCATCTTGTGCCATTACAGAGAGAACATTTCTGAAGCATATCAGACTGGTCCCACCCATACGGGCAGTCCAGATCCAAAATGCCAGCAAGTTCCCTCTGCACGAGAGATACAGCAACCCCAGACGATCATTTCAACCTTGTAAGGTATCATCAGTGAGATATAGCCAATGTCCCTCTAGGCACCGTGAGCAATGTTTAGCCTTCTTACCTTGGATTCCCTGCTGGACTGTGAGGCTCCTTCATCACAATTGATGCAAAGCTGGCTTCTGCAGAGGTACAAAAGCCAGAAACCGACCCAGTTGCCATTCGTTGGCTCAGAGCTTTAGCTGACCAGTCTCTGCCAATAAATGGCCCAATGTACATGAAAAGTTGCACAGAATTGATATTTCTAAGCCGGAACATTTGTTCTGGGCTGTCTATTGATGCCTCAATGACGCTGCCTTAGGTGGAGTTACACCTCTGCCAGCAAAGGGGTTAAACTTTGTGTGTGCAGCACATTAGAGCAAAACGCGGCCCATACAGACTCAGAGCACCATGACCACTTCAAATCACTGAAGTGATCCTGGTGCTTGGGGTAACCCTTTAAGAATTGACAATTTATTCTGAAGCCTAAGTGATTTGTATTTTTATTATTTATAAACCGGTTTTAAAAAAACATTAATTCCGTTGGAACATTCCCAGTTATCAAATCAATTTCCTCTAATCTCCCCTCTGGTTCAACCCATCTAAGATTCTACTGTTCCTTCAATTGAAACTGATAGTAAACTATAAACTTTCAACCAGAAGATGAAACCAGCCTTAAGTCCTTATCTCCCATCTCTGAGAATGTTACCTTAGACCTGCTAAGGTGATCATCTCCTAATGTATCTGAAGTAGCACTTAATTTAAAAGGAGATCATAAACTGAGCACAGATTGTTTGAGCCCAGGTGTCACGGTCGCCCTGTGGAAATTTCTATGATGTCTGCGACGCACACTTGGAATAAGTTTCATTGGTTAAGGTTAGACACAGGAGGGGGAATCTAAGCTCCCGTGTGGGATGCAAAGTTTCTTCTTCAGCATTTACCAGTCTCTCTGGAACCTGCAGGAGAAGATGGGCGTTCTTATCAGGCGTAAGTAACCAATCTAACATTTATCCATAGATTTAGAGAAAGAACTGTGGCAGAAACTAGCAGGCTGTAGAGGCTCAACCAACCCCAATGTTCCTTTAGATAATACAAAAAAAAAAAAAAAAAGTTCTGTAATCACACAAGTGAATTACTTTTGCAAAGTATGCCATGTAGTAGATTGCTGATTAATTAAAATTCTACGTAATACAACTGGAACTGGATAAGTTGCATTAATGCACTAATATTGCCTTCTCGTAGCTCTGGTTTTTTAAGGGACACTCAAAGCACCCCAACCACTACAGTGCGCTGTAGCTTATTGTGCCAGGGTTGCACCGGTTCCCTCCCAGAATAAGTAGTCAAATCATTTGCAAATGTTTGACAATATACCTAGGGTCTGCTGTGGGCTGGTCACTACCTACCGGTACTTTGAAAGCAGCACCTTTTTAAAAAATGGTTTGATTTCATATCTGGGTTCTGCCAGGCATGGCTCTCAGCTTCTACTAGTTTAGATAGAAAGCTTTCCAACTTTCTGTCTGAACTAAGCTAGGCAGTGCAGGGATTAGCAGATTGGCCGAGAGCAGGGCCGGACTGGGAAAAAAAATTCGGCTCGGGCATTTTTCAATCAGAGCGGCCCCCTGAGAAGGGGGCGGGGCTAGAGTGTGTGTGTTTTGTCATCACTAATGACAAGCACGCCCCCTCTCAAAGTGAGCATGTTGGTTCAATGCGCAGAGCTGCGCTGAAGAGCTCTGACATTAGAAAAAGACCCTGAATTTGTTCTGCGCAGCGCAAGCAAATTTAATAACATGCTTGTGCTGTGTTTGCTTTTAAATTGTCTCTGGTGTTTCCACAAGTGGGATACCAGAGGACAAAAGGGCCAGGAAAGTGCATGGTGCATATGTTTGGAGCCTGCTTGTGGGATTGCGTGTGTGTAGAGTGTGGTGTGGTATTGTGTAAATAGGTCAATTTCATTTGTGTTTGTGGTGTAATATGTGTGGCTAGGGGCTGTAGAGAGTGTGTGTATAGGGGGCATAGTTTTATAGGGGATGCAGCGAGTGTGTGCATACGGGCTGAAGTGTGTGTGTATAGGTGACGTAGTGTGTGTAGGGGGTTGCAGAGAGGGTGTGTTTAGAGAATGTTGTATGTGTTTGCTGACAAGGAATGTAGTGTGTGTGTGTGTGTGTGTAGGAGATCTACTGTGTAAAGGACCCAGTGTGTGTGTGTGTGTGTGTGTGTGTATATAGAGGATTAAGAGTGCATATAGGGTAAGGGATCTAGTGTGTATCTGGAGCGTAATGTGTGTAGTGGTGCTGTAGTGTGTGTGTGTAAATATATATATATTTGGACATATTGTATGTGTGAGGTGCGCAGTGTGTTTGTGTAAGAGGGGTGCTGTGTGTGAGGGTGTTTTTATCTGCTGTCACATTCTAGGTTTCTAATTTTCTTTGTATGTTAACTCACTGAGGGTTATATATATATATATATATATATATATATATATATATATATATATATGTGCTGTATATGTGTGGGAGTGTGCTGTGTGTGTGAGAATGTAAAATAATGGAAAATTTATTCATACTTACCGTAATTTTCTTTTCCTGGTCATATGCCATGGCAGCACAACATTGGGTAGCTCCTCCCTATCCCCATTGGACAGGAATAATAATTAAGCCGTATAAGTACCACCTCCTACCCCTCCTTCCCCAGTCATGTTTTCCAGCAATAGCCCCGGGTGGGACCCTTGTGCTGCCATGGCATATGACCAGGAAAAGAAAATTACGGTAAGTATGAATAAATTTTCCATTTTCCTGGCCATATCCATGGCAGCACAACATTGGGTAATACCCAAGCAATAAACCAGGGAGGGAAAGAGACACAGACTCCAAAAATTTTGAATGCAAAGTGTATTAACACCACAACAGGTGAAAAATAGAAATCAGGTATCGGATACAGACAGAACTGATTTAGCAAATTGATCAGATATACCTGCTCTAACATCAATTTGGTAGCTCTTAATGAAAGTGTTAGAGGAAGACCATGTAGCTGCTTTACAAATGAGTTCAGGAGAAACATTAGCAGCAGCTGCCCAGGAAGATGAGAGAGCCCTCGTGGAATGGGCTTTAAGACCCACAGGGACCGGATATCCAGCAGATTGATAAGCCAAAATAATAGCTGCTACTATCCACCTGCTAATGGTAGATTTGGGAGCTTGTGAGCCCTTTTTACAGCTGCCATGAAGGACGAAAAGACTGTGAGAAGTACGCCAAGCAGAAGTCCTATTAATATATATCTGGAGGCATCTTACTAGATCCAGAGAAGATAGGTTAGTAGCATTCTCCATTTCTAGGGAGTCAGACCTCAGAGATGGAAGAACAATATCCTCGTTGATGTGAAAGGAGGAGGTGACTTTAGGTCGAAATTCGGGAACCGTACGGAGGACAACTCTGTCTTTGTGAAAGACCGTAAAAGGCTCCTTAATGGATAGAGCGTGGAGCTCAGAAACCCTCCTGCCGGAAGCTAGGGCAATCAGCAAAGCAGTCTTAATAGAGAGAGCATGAAGAGGAACTGTCTCAAATGGTTCAAAAGGTTCCAACTTTAAGGCATTCAAGACCAAAGGGAGATTCCAAGATAGAACAAATGGTTTAATAGGAGGTTTTATCTGAAGGACTCCTTTGATGAATCTGATGACATCCGCGTCCAGTGCCCATCGATGATTGGTTAGAGCGGACAAGGCTGAGACGTGCACCTTGAGTGTGTTATAGCTCAGCCCTTTAGCAAGCCCAGACTGCAGAAACTCCAAAATATTAGAGGAGGAAGGATCTTGAATATTAAAGTTCCTGTGAAGGGCCCAGTCAGAGAAAACTTCCCACACTCTATAATAAGTGGCCGAAGTGGAATGCTTACGTGCCTTCAGCATAGTGCCTATAACGTCCTGGGAGAATCCTATACTCAAAAGCCGGTTCCTTTCAGTCTCCAAGCCATGAGATTGAGAGAGACCGGATTTGGATGAAACACAGGACCTTGGAACAGAAGATCCGGAGTTCTGGGGAGTGGGAGAGGAGGTTCCACCAAAAGACTTTGAAGCAGAGGAAACCAGGGTCTTCGAGGCCAATAAGGCGCAATCAGGATGAGAGACACCTGCTCTGTTCTCATCTTCCTCAGGAGCGGGAGAATTAGTGGAAATGGGGGAAAAGCATAGCCCATCCTGAACCTCCAGGGGCTTGATAAAGCATCCCTCCCCAGTGCTAGGTGGTTCTTTCGTGAAGAAAAGCTTTACTTTCCTGTTGGCCCGAGTGGCTAGAAGGTCTACTTGAGGGAGGCCCCATTTGTCCACAATCAAGCGGAATACTCTGTCCGAGAGGCACCATTCCCCCGGATCTATCCTGGATCTGCTGAGAAAATCCGCCAGATGATTCCGTTTCCCTGGTAGATGGATGGCAGTAAGGCCCGCCAGGTTTCTCTGAGTCCACCACATCAGGTGATTCATGATTTCCATCATCTTGCAGCTCCTGGTACCCCCTTGGTGATTGACATAGGATACCACAGTGGAGTTGTCTGTCCTTATCTTCACCCATTGCCCCTTGAGATGATTCGAGAAGTGTTTCAATGCTTTGAGGACAGCCAGAAGCTCTAGGCAATTGGAATGAACATTGTTTGCCCTGAAACTCCATTCTTCCTGCGCAAAGTCGTGGAGACAATGAGCACCCCATCCCCATTGGCTGGCATCCGTTGTCACAGTTATCCACGCGATATCTCCTAGTGGAAAACCCTTTGATAGGTGCTCCCTGTTTAACCACCAGATTAGAGAATGGCGTACATTCAGGGAAAGTTTGATGGGTTGGTGCAGGTTCCCGGAGGAGAACTGTCTCAGGAAATTGGCTTGGAATGGTCTCATTCTCCACTGTGCCCATCTGGTCAGTCCTATTGTGGAGGACATGGAACCCAGGAGGCTCATTATGGCCTTGGCCGGGGCCACCCTGGATATCAGCATTCTTCTCAATAACATCTTGAGTTTCTGTATTCTTGCTGATGAAAGTTGGACAGTGCCCTTTAGAGTGTCGAAGTGAGCTCCTAAGTAAACCATAGATTGCGTTGGGTGGAGGTGGCTCTTCTTGGTGTTGATCTTCCAGCCGTGAGCTTGCAGAAACTGAATGCTGGTAATAGCATGGGATGTCAGAGAATCTACGTTGTTTCCTAAGATCAAGATGTCGTCCAAATAATGGTAAATCGCAATGTTCTGTTTTCGGAGTTCTGCAATGAGAACAATCAGGACCTTTGTAAATGTCCTCGGAGCTGTGCTCAGTCCAAAGGGGAGGGCCCTGAACTGGAAGTGACCTTCTTCCACAGCAAACCTCAGAAACTTTTGATGAGTTTGGGCAATGGGTATGTGAAAATACGCATCTAACAGATCTATGGACAGCATCCATTGGTTGGGAGACACTACTTTTATTATAGATTGTAAGGATTCCATTTTGAACCTGCGAATGTGCAGATGCTTGTTTAGCCTGTGTAGATCCAGAATAGGTCTCCATCCCCCTGAGGATTTCTTCGTTAGGAAGATGTGGGAGTAAAACCCTTGAGTTCTCTCGCCGGCTGGCACTTTGGTGATAACCTTCTCCTTCTGCAAGGAAAGTATGAAGTCTTGTAGGGCCATGCACTTTTCCTTGTCCCTTGGCCACTTTGTGAGGTGAAAGGACCTGCTTGGAGGATGTTCGAGAAATTCTATCAAGTAACCTCTCCGAATGATATCCAGTACCCAACTGTCGCTTGTGGATGCTTCCCATATCGGTAGATATTGGAGAAGACAAGCCCCGACACCTTCGGATTTGGGAATTATATAGTCATAGATTCCTCTGGTTTTTATAGGAAGATGAACCGCGTGACTTGCCTCCTTTGTTTCCAGCTGGGGCTCCTCTCCCAGGTTGAAATCTGGAATATTCTTTGCCCGGCTTGTAGGACCTACTGTCACGAAAGGAATGATACTCTTTCCGGGCACGAAAGGATCCTTTATACTTTCTCTCCTGAGGTAAAAAGGTTTTATTCCCTTCAGCCGCCCTCTTAATGCATTCGTCCAAATTCTTGCCGAATAACATACTCCCGTGAAATGGCAAAGAACACAAACTATTCTTGGAGGAAGCATCGGCTGCCCAAGATCTGAGCCAAAGAGCTCGCCTAGAGGAAATCGAGAAGGACATATTTCTAGCAAGGCTCCTTACCAGATCCACTGCAGCTTCTGATGAAAAATCAATTGCTAGACGCATATCTCTTAGGTCCTCCACAATGGAAGAACGGCTTCTGCCACTCCTGATGTCCCCTTCCAGTTCCTGTATCTAAACCTTCATAGCTCTTGTAACAAAGCCGCGCGAACGCTCAGAAACAACCGAACGCCGCGCATGCGTCCGGGAGCCCACGAATGCCGTGCAGGCGCCCGTGAGACTCCCGAACGCCGCGCAGGCGCACAGAAATTTCCCGAACGCCACGCAGGCGCCCTGGAACTCCTGAACGCCGCCCAGGAGCTCCCGAACGCCGTGCAGGCACTGCAGCTTCTGAGGGGGAACCCCAGCACAGAGAGATTACAGTTTCAATTACCTCTGTATCTTCAGAAGAATAATCTTACAGGTAGGAACCAAATCATGGAGACATTACCTTGATTCTGGGGGGAGAAAATCCAAGTCCGGAAACCAGCCATAATCCCATGTTATTCCACTTGCATTATTGCAAGAATTACAGGAAGGTAAAACCCCCGGTCACTAAAGGGGTTTTCTCCAGGGGGACACCTTTGCGCAGGGCCGTATACTGGAGACTTCCCAGGGGAGAGAGGGTGAACTCCCCAGGGGCTAGAGGAACTAATCCTCAGGTAAGCCATAAAGAAAATCTAATAGTCTGAAAAGACCGACATGTCCTAGGGATAGGACAGGAAAAAAAAGACTGGGGAAGGAGGGGTAGGAGGTGGTACTTATACGGCTTAATTATTATTCCTGTCCAATGGGGATAGGGAGGAGCTACCCAATGTTGTGCTGCCATGGATATGGCCAGGAAATATATATATATATATATATATATATATATCCATCCCACTCCCTTTTTACCTTTTATCCTGGGAGGGGGGGGCGGGGGTGCAGGAGATCTGTTCTGCCTGGGGGGTGGATGCTGCCTTCCCTGGTGGTCCAGTGGTGAGAGTGTGTGAGTGGTGAGAGTTCACTCTCGCGAGATCTGAGCGTTGCCGTGGTAACCGCGGCAACGCTCAGAATCCCGCGAGAGTACCCGGCGGAGCTGCTGGCTAGAGCTCCGCCGGTCCTCTCCTCCCTCCCTCCCCAGCCTGCGGCCGCATCTCCATGCCTCTGGGCTGGTGAAGGAGATCTTTGATCTCCCCACCCGCCCATGGAGGCACACAGCGGGGCCGGCGCTCGGATCCCCTGCCGGCCTCGGCCCCACGGCCATCGCGGCCCAGTCCGGGCCTGGCTGAGGTTAATCAGATGAGGCAACAGAAGTTTCTAGCTTTTTTCCCACTAAGGACTAAACAGAAGAACATATAAAGAAATAGTGGAAGTGCACTCAACCCTTCATCCAGGGTGCTCCACTGGACAAGTCCCAGTACCAGAATGGACCAAATATGAAACTGTCAATTGTAGAAAATAATCCAGGCACTCCAACGAATTCCAAAATATAGGAAATTTTATTAGAACCAGAAGCTACACAGCTGTGTAGCTTCTGGTTCTAATAAAATTGCCTATATTTTGGAATTCGTTGGAGTGCCTGGATTATTTTCTACAATAAACAGAAGAACATGTTTTACCGGCTGACAAAGTCTTGACTTGAGATCTGTGCCCACTTACCTGATGCCCCATCCAGTCACCATTCATTGGCTGAGAGCATCAGCAGACCACTCTCAGCTACTGAATGACCCACTGCGTGTGAAAAATTGCACATAATTGATATTAGTCAGCGCGAAACTCTTGTCTTGATGCTCCAATTATGCACACCTCATATAATCGAACAATAGAACTGCCCCTCCGACAGCAAAGGGGTTAAACTCCATTATCTGCAGCGTTTTACACTGAAACATTGCACGTACAGACACCAGGCAATATTACCACTCAAAATCACTGAAGTGGTCATGGTGCTTGGAGTAATCTTTTGACTGAATAAAATTTAATTTCTAAGTCCCAAGATTCCTACAAATTTTATGTGATTTTATACACTAGGGATCAGCTGATATTTTTCCAGTTGCCTTCTGGGCGCCGAGATTCTGTACATTTAAATTTTTGAAAAAGCAACACAATTTCTACACAAATCTGGCATTAAATTAACATGCTGGCAAAATTCACACTCCTATCACTCTCAGGCATCCAGCACATGCTGGGATCAACGAGATTCCAGCAGGTATTCTTTTTTTTTTTTTTTTTTTTATTCTTTATTTTTGTTGTGCATGTTTTAACAACGAGCGAGTGTTGCCACAACAGCAGTTACACGCAAAATCATACATTTTCAAACATGGCAAGTAATATGTCTGCACATTTTTATATATTATAAAACAGAAGTGATATGCATACGGCATAGAAACATGTTTGATCTATCTGTGCTAACAATAGGAGGAGCAGGTAATAGTCGCTTAACGGGTAGCACATTGCAAAATATAAGATATGAAACTGTTAGAGATTAGTCACACATTGTATTTATATGATCTCTAGAACACATTGTAGACAAGGTGGAGTCAGCAGCTAATGCTTAGATTGTAAAGGCAAACAGGACATGTCCCTGCTTCCCTATCTACATGAAATGAGGTTCCACTGGGTGGCCTGGCAGGTGATCTGCTATTGCTAAAGTGGGATTTATAAAGGCACAGGGTGCCAACGCATACTATTTAGCATGTGGTCGTAGTGATGGGGGGTGTATGTATTACTGCTTTGGGCCCAAGCTGGGGGCTTAGTTATGCAGGCCAGGAGTCCCTCAGCCTATGCCTGTTACGGGCATCGGTGGCAGATACTTGCTATGTCCATATAAAGCTCGCTGCTCAGTGGGGCCCCCTGGTTTAGTTCCATCTGTGGTGTTTCTGTGTGAGGCGTCCTTCTGTACAGCCACGTGGTGCTCAGCCATCTTCTCCGGGCGTAGAGTTGTGAGTAGGTGGTGTGGCTGCAGGGATGGCTTGTTGATCCAGCTGCTGTGTGCATGGGTGCGAGTGCGTGGGTTCCGGCAGCCTGGTACTATGGTCCGCCATGACGGTTTTTGGCGCCTTCGTGGCCGTTTAGATGGCCTGTTGGCTTGGAGTGGGTATCTGTAATGGCGTCTGCGTGTCACAGGGCGGATCCATAAGGCGCTCGTTCTGGCTGCTTGGTTGCAGGACACTCCGCGGTGGCGAAGTAGTGTCCAGAGGCCCTTGCAGAGCCTGTCAAAGCCCTCCATGCAGCCAGCTGGTGGTGTGGCGTGTGTGCCCGCCAATCTTGGCTTCTGCTTGGCGGCCATGTTGTGTGTACCTCGGTGGTCCAGCGTTCCTGCCGGCGATGTAGCCAAGGGGCTGATCAGCCTGCCTGGTCTGTCTGTCCAGTGGGGACCGGGATATCCCCCACCGGTCCAAAGGGGGGGGGTTGGAGACCTGCTTGGTTGCTTAGGGGGTCCGGTGTCAGAGAGAGCGGCCCTCCTCTCCCCGGCTCCGGCTTCTGTAGGCCGCGCTTGGTGTCCCGCTTTTATAGCTCCTA